TCAGGTGTACCGGACTCGCTAATGAGCCTTTCCCCGCAGTCACAACCTCACGGCAGACCCGGAATGGTCACGACGGCTGGGCCGTCTGAGGTTGTTTAACTCTTTTGCTCTCACGTGTGCCTTGGCAAGTCTCCACGTTCCAGTCGGAAAGAGGCAGATACAAGTAGAAAGGTAGCATTTGCAAAGCACCTAACACATAGTGTTAACATTCACATGCACAATGTAGCCTGGCAAACTACTGCTCTGTATATTCGTAGTGTATAGCCGGACCAGTCCAGCTCTGCCCTACTACATAATGTAACCCAACACCACAGAGTGTCTACTATAGCACCAGTTACCATGGTGACAGACGTCTGCAGTTGGTCTGTGTTTTGGCATGTCTACACGTTCCTGTCGGAAAGATGCAGAAGGTAGCATTTGTAAAGCAAAGGCATACACGGCGTTTACCTTCACATGGTCTAGTTTACCAAATACAGCTAGAATTAGAATTAGAAAGGTAGCATTTTGCAAAGCAAACGCATGCATGGTGTTTACCTTTGCATGGTCTAGCCTACCAAGGCACTGCTCTGTTTTTCTTACTCAAACACACACACATATATATATATATATACTAAGTATATACCAGTACATCCAGCTCTGTTCTGCCACTTGCTACATAATGTAACGCAACACCACAGGGTGTCTGCTGCAGCACCAGTTACCATAGTGACAGCCGTCTGGTCCAGGTCATTGACCTTATGTGTTTCGAGAAGACGAAGAAACAGAGCAAAAACAATGTTTTTCTTTCTCCGAAGATAAACAGAGCAAGGCCAGATATCTTAAGCAAACCCTCACCTTATCCAACTGTTGGCCTACTTGAATGTAGATAATCGAGAAAATTCCCAAGGATAGTTTATGCTTCAGCTCAGGTCAGCATGGCACAAGAAGAAGACAACCAACGATAAGAATTGAAATTCTGGCAACTGCATCGCTACATTCCAAGAGGATATAAACAGGGTAAAGAAGAAGACCACGGATAAGAATTGAATTTTTTGGCAACTGTATAGCTACATTCCTAGACGATCTAAATAGGGCAAAAAAGAAGACCAAGACCAAGACCAAATAAGAATTGAATTTTTGGCAACTGTAGCATTATAGCTACATTCCTAGAGGATCTGAAAAGGGCAAACATCTCCGGGAGGCAAAGATAGTAGCTTTGGATAGAAGGGCAAGAAAACTTGCTGCTCCCTAAGCGGAAGTTTTTTGGCCTCGGCTTATATCTAACGTGTTTTACGCGGTTTTATCTACTAGTAGCCTCCATAGCATGCCAAAAACTGGGGGTTTTCATGGTATTTGGGATCTTTTATGTGCTATTTTCTGATTGCATATACATGTAGACAACATACCCGGCCTGGTTGAACAACCCCCGTGTTTTGAACTGGGCTACAGGTTTAAAACAGGTGAAGACCACCAAACCCACAGTTCTATAAGCCTGCTACGGAGGCTAGTTTTATCGGTGTTCTTTGTTGCACAGGTATTTTTTTTACGCCAGCTTCGGGTGGCAATCTGCCTTGCCTGTTTGATACTACATTGCAGCCACCAAAAGCCTGGCCACTTTGCTACTGCCTTGTCGCCACTGAAGGATCTGCTTGAAGATTAACTTGCTGCATGCCCGATGTGCCAGTAAAGCACTGGAGGTACTAAGCCAAAGGTAAGGTTAGGCCATGTTGATTTGATTATATGGATGACATCCTCCGGGG